ACTTCCCCAACCATAGGATGAATAGATGGTCCTCGTCGTATCGACGGACGAACAGGACACAGCACTTGTCTGTTTGTTGCCAATAATCTTTGTTGGAGTCTTAAGAAAAATTCCTTATTTCAAATTGTTGGCTCCACAGCCAGAAAATAATTGGAATGTTTTTTTTGTGAATTAAGATAAAAGTGAAACATGGTTTTTATATTAACTCAGTAGAAATGCACTCCACACTTCTCAGATCATAATTATAAACCCGTGAATTTCGAAGCCTCTGACTTTCCTTGATAGTTCCTTTTTAAACATCAATATTTGTACTAAAATATTCTTTCTGTCATGATTTGTGGACATTAAGATCTAAAGAGAAGCGTCATCTCCTGGTCAGACCCTTCAGTGAAAGGGTGGAGTCAGATGCACGGGGATTTTTTTGGAGTTGCAGGGAAGTGGGCTGCTATCGGGCTGGCGTTTTACCGGGAAGGGCCATTGTGAATGGCTGCTACTGTAAATTGAAATCACATGAGTTTAACCATGGATTGCAACATGGCACAAAGCAGAGAAGTTTATTAAAAAAAATCATAAAAAGTGCAAATATCCAACTCATCAAGTGAACCGACTCAATAATTTTTCCTTTAATTGATTAATAATCAGATAGTCAAAGGTTCCTTAAAGAATATTTTTTTACACATTCAAACCAGGTAATAAACTTTTCCACTTGAGGAGTTCTGAATAGAGCATATTTTTTAGGATTTTAAAAAATCCTAAATTCAAAATATTTATGATTTTTTCTTCTTTTTTTTTTGCAGTTTTGGTATAATTCCTGCTCTAAGTGGGTTGCCCTGTCAGCTAAAAGCATGTTTCATAGTCTCTACACTCCATTTAACGATTTATCTATTACTAAATTAGTTTATTTCAAGAATTTATTAATCTGATTCCTTGTTTCAGACCTAAATCGGATAGCAAAGGTTCTTTAAAGAAGATTTTTACAGAATGAAACCGGGTGAAAACTTTCTGACTATCTAAAATGTTAAATATTTACATATATATATATATATATATATATATTTATATATATATAAATTTTTTTTTTTTTTTACAATTTTGTGTAATTATAGCTATAAATGGGTTGTTCTCTCAGCTAAAGGCTTGTTTTAGAGTCTCTACACTCCAAATAACCAATCATCAGTTTCTAAATTAATATAAGAATTAATTAATTAATTAAATAATTAATTAATTAATTAAAAATTTAAGAATGAAGAATTAATTGAAAATTTTTTCAGTAACAGATTAATCATGATTAATTGTTTCAGCCCTACCTGTGATATTTGCTGTGATATGAACCCTCCACAGGTGATCTGCTAAATATTCCCTCTCCTCTGTTTCAGTGTTCCAGGTCCTGTGGCTCCGGCATCCAGAGAAGAGAGCTTCGCTGCGGGGAGAGAGACTCACAGGGAGGGTATGAGCCTTTGACTTCTCACCGGGGCTTTCATCCCACTCGTATACACTGGCACAGACACTTGAGCCCCGGCTGCATCATCCATGTGGATTACCTTTAAACCGGAGAGCCTGTAGGGTCGGCCTGTTTGAGTTTCCACTGTGTTTGTTTTGCTCAGGTACGTGCAGTATCCTGTACGGCGCTGCAGAAATATTGCCAAACCTTCAGTGGATCTGCAGCAGGTCTGCAGCCGAGCTCCGTGCCCAGAGCTCCCCCGGGAGGCCTCGGGTAGAACAACCTTCAGCGGCGGGGTGTCAGGCTGGTACCCTTCTCCCTGGCAGCAGGTACACCTGTTTATACTTGGTTTGCAAACTGTATAAAGTAAAGACTTTTAGGCTTATAAGAGAGTTCTAGTAAATCATCTAAATCAGAGGTAACCAATTAAAAATCAGGGGGATCGAATAAAGAAAATCTTCAACCATTTCAGAGACATTTTTAACTATAAACTTTTACTTTAAACAGTATTTAACACTGAAATAAAATTTGGTTTTTATCCCTATCATTGCATTTTTATATAAAAAAAAATATTTAAAAAAATAGAATATTTTCCCATTTTAAAATCTAAATTGTTTTTGAAGTAGAGAACAGCAATCGTTCAGTTTGGTATATTGAAAATTTCCTGATTCCCATATTTTCTCAAACCCCTGAACTGATCGTTTGTTATTTTCTTTCTTTTT